TGTGTTTATTTTTAACACAGTGCAAATAAATATGTGTGTGCATATATATTCTTTAAGGGAATTAGGATCATGTTCAACGTACTGTTTTGTAACATTATTTTTTTTAAAATATATTTTATTGATTTTTTACAGAGAGGAAGGGAGAGAGATAGAGAGTTAGAAACATCGATGAGAGAGAAACATCAATCAGCTGCCTCCTGCACGCCCCCCACTGGGGATGTGCCTGCAACCCAGGTACATGCCCTTGACCGGAATTGAACCTGGGACCTTTCAGTCCACAGGCCGACGCTCTATCCACTGAGCCAAACCGGTTTCGGCTGTAACCTTATTATTACAATTAATGCATTTTAAGCATTTTTCCTGTAATGTTAATTATCGAGAACACTGGTATTTTACAGTGGTCATGGTAGACCAGAATCATGAGGTGGTAGAATGTACCCAGGAGCCAGTAGTTAGTCTGGCCCTGAGCTGTCAGACAAACTTCTTAAACTCTTTGAGCCTTCCTACCTGCAGCATTCTCTTGAGGATTAGAAATAAGTTGAAATGACAAACCCTGGGAGAATAGTCTCAACAAATCATTATTAATTGTTCCCAGTGTTTTGACTTAATCCATTAGTGTCCATAATGAAGTGTGTGCATGAAGATCCATTGGGGGGCAAAAGAAAATAGTAGGATTTATGTTTCTATTTAATTTTAATCTCACTTTTTTACAATTTCTATTTTTGTGTATATTTTAAAATATATTAATATAGTAGCACTGTTTTATAATAATACGCATTTGTAACTTGAAAGTGCATGCTCAAATTCTTTTTACTGATAGGAATATACAAAATTGTTTCTAGGGTATTATTTCCACCTGGTGGACAGTTGTGTGGTAAAAATTAATTTCTCCTAACAGTGGACCTCAATCTCAAAAGGTAAAGGAATAGTTTTCCAATTTAATGCTGTGCCATAGTTTAGTCCTAGGACTTCTCAAAAGGATTACTCAAGCAATAATAATAATAGTAGTAGTAGTAATAATAATATCATATTTTACAAAGATTTCCAGTGCCTTATAAATCCTATACAATAAAAGCCCAGTGACCAAAACAGCTAAACAACCAGAACAACCAGAGACCAGAACGACTGCCGCCCCTTGCTCTGGCTGGCCCCACCCCCCAGCAGGGACCCCAACACCAATCAGGGGTGTGGCTGGCCTGCAAACCCCCGCAGCCCCTCACCTCAGCTGGCCCTGCCTCCCAGCAGTGACCCATACCCCGATTAGGGGTGGGGTTGGCCAGCAAACCGCTCTAGCCCCGCCCCCCAGCAGGGGACTCCCACCCCGATCAGGGGTGTGGCTGGCCTGCAAACCACCCATGACCCCTTGCCCCGGCTGGCCCCGCCCCCCAGTGGGGACCCCCCCCCCCAATCCGGGGCCCCCATCAGGGCAGGCAGGCCGACCCCCACCTGTGCTCCAGGCCTCTATCCTATATAATAAAAGGGTAATATGCAAATTGACCCTAATTGCAGAACGACCACTCGACCAGTCACTCTGAGGCACACTAACTACCTCTCGGTCCTTTTCCATGGCCAACAGGCTCTGATCACCCAATGGAATGGGGTATACTGGGGGGGGGGGGGGGGGGGAACA